GGGTGTGCCCCCGCTACAACGACAAACTGCGTTGTGGACTTGGCCTTGCTTAATGGGCCAGCTATAGACTGTTTTGTGGACTCGGCCAGGGGGCCTTAGCCCTGCTTAAAGGGCCAGCTATAGACTGTTTTGGGGACTCAGGCCAGAGGGCCTTTGGCCTGGCTTAAAGGGCCAGGGAGAGACTGTATCACAAGGGGTCGGGGACCCAGGCGGGAGGGGCCCGCCACAGGGACACACACTAAAGTTTTCATGAAGGCATATTTGCCTATTTTTTTTCTTGAAGGTCACCTTTAATGAAGCAGGTAGACCCTTGTTCAAGAAATTTTCATATTGTTGTGAATCTTCTTTCTGGAGAATATTTTATATTAGCTTGTGGTGAAAATGCCAGCAGAGTTGAGACAAGTTTGACCCTAGTCAATTGATTTTAAATCTAAATACAGAGAAACTGCACTAGCAATGTTGGGTTAATGTTGGTCACCTAACAATATCCACGGTGTTTTTTGTTTTTAATATTAGCTGCCTTTGACTCTCCTGTCCATGACACACTTAGAGATGGATATGCTCAAGCTGGTCCCTCCTACCTCTGAAAGATCTCAGGATAATACTGGGTAACTGTTCACCTTAAGAACTGCCTTATTTCAGGGTTCTAGCAGGTTCATTTCTATTAATTCCACTACACAATTCAAGATTCATGAACCATGATTTGGGGGATTAGAGACAGTACATAAGGTTTAAATGTGTAACATAAAGGTTGTAAAGGTTTCAGTGTGCTGAAGACACCCAACTTTATTTCTAACTAATCCAGACCTGCTAGTGCAGTAACACTGAAGTTTCATGGGACCACGACCTGGATAAGGTCCCTATTTTTATTTTATTGGTAATTTTATTTTATTGACTATTAACACCACCCAATTGCTTCTGAAGATCCAGATAAGAGCATTTTCCAAAAAAAAATTTTTTTAGCAGCAATGGACAAAGGCAGATCTTATTACCGTTATCCATGTCACCTATGGGTTGAATTACTGTTGTAAGCACTACAAATATGATCTTCAACTATACTTTACAATAGAAAAACTTAGATCTTACATTTATTCAAAAACTTACAGCTAGGACAGACCTTGTCTAGACTCTTTATGAGAAGTATTTTCTGAAAGGACTTCCTTGAATTAGTTCTCAGAAATCTGTATGATCTACTAAAAAACTTCACACTTAAGGTTCCAGTTGTTGCCTCAAGACTGGGGATTATCTGAAGCACAAGAGAACTTAAAAAACCCCTCTAATTTGAACAGCAGTACATTCACATCCAGTGTTTCTACGCTTTGCAACTCACTCCCACGATGATGCACCAAAACCTGAGACATAATGCAAGACTCTCCTGTTTTCTCACAATTTTTCCAAGAATAAGGTGTGGATCAGGTTTGGCTGGCATTATGGGAAAGATAAAGGGCAGTAAGTTTTTGTAACGGAGGCAGTATTTTTAGGAATGCCTTTTAATATGTTTGACTGTTGTGTGCAGTTTAAATATTGTAAGTGCCCAGAGAACTGGGAATATATATTTATTTAGCTCTGAAAAAGTAAAGATAGTAAACTTGGTTGTGACCTTTCAAAGTACTTGTAAATTCTACTGCATAGCTCCAACTTGCTGCCAGATAAAAACAAGTGGGTGGCCAAAACATTATTACCTTTTGTGTGGTTTCCTAGATCTTAGGAGCAAGAATTACGGGCACTGGTCCCAGGGACAGAGGTGACCTGTATCAGCTGTGAGTCAATAATGTGGGTAACTGGATTGGTTTGGTATGACCTGGGCTGTCCTTAGACATATGAAAAATATGCAGCTTCATGAGGCACCTGAAAATTTGAGGCATCCCTACAGGAATACCATGACCACCTCTGCTGTCTGGTTCTTCTTCAGTCCCTAGCCCTGGCTGCTCTCTCCTGTTGGCAGTAGGTTTTCTCAGCTGTGAGTCAATAATGTGGGTAACTGGATTGGTTTGGTATGACCTGGGCTGTCCTTAGACATATGAAAAATATGCAGCTTCATGAGGCACCTGAAAATTTGAGGCATCCCTACAGGAATACCATGACCACCTCTGCTGTCTGGTTCTTCTTCAGTCCCTAGCCCTGGCTGCTCTCTCCTGTTGGCAGTAGGTTTTCT